GAAAGTCCTTCTGGCACTTGCCTCTCACAGCTTTGATCTCTTCAGGCTGGTTAGAACTAATTCCACATGGAGACCGGGCTGGAATCCATGCTGGTCACACCTTCCTGCCACACAGCCAGCCGGAGGACTTACAGTCAGCTTTATCGGGAGTGTTTCTGAGTGCCTGCGCAAACCAGGCTTCAGGGGCATCAGTTCTCTGGACACGCATCTCCAGCACAGACCCACGTCCGTAATTTCCCTCTGCAGCCTCCTGCCTCCAACCAAGGAAACACCCCTTTTCTAGAAGTCAGAAATTTCCCCTGACTTTTTGATGGGACACCACCCCCTCCCCCAAGGAAGATGGACATTCACAGCACACTGTTAGGAGAGAGAGAGGGAACAGATGAAAGGGAGGGGAAGTAAAGGAAGATATGCCTCCCAAATGTAATGGAAGTGCCCCACCACATGCACTTCCTCCCTTCGTCCCTCCCACCTCCCTCCCATCCCTCTTACGGTGAGTTATTCCTCTTTGCCCAACACGTGCGTGTCCTTCTCCTGTCCTCTCCACTGAAGTTTGGGGAGCCCCAGTTCTCTTTAGCCCAGATCCCCAGGACCCCGGATTTTACCTGCCATACTGGAAGTCAGGACCCAACTGCAAGATGCAGACTGCTGATTGAGAAGAAAGGAAATAATCCTCCAGATCTGAGAAAATTGCCAAGGGTGGCCGATGCTGAGATGGGAGACAACAGGGAGAGAGCCAAGGACTCCAGAATTTCCCAGCCTTCAAAGCAGGCTCTCGTGTCAGCTCTCTCCCTGCTCCAGCACAGACTGAAAACTGGGGGAAAGCCTCCCGATAAAACAGGGTCTGAAATCTGAAACTACAGGTTGGCTGAGTCCTGTATAAACACTCACACCCCCAGCTCCCGGGGTCTGATGGCTTACCCGCCCTGCTCCCCCCGTCGCCACCCCGCCTGCAATCGGGTAATATCAGACAGCCCTCTAGCTGCAGCGTCTCTCCGGAAACCCAGCGAGGGAGCGGTGCTGGCGCGCAGTGGCGGGGGAGACCTGCCTGGCGCTGTCCCCCGCCCTCCAGCAGTTCAAGTTCAGGTGCTTAAGTGGACAGGGTCATGGCAGTAAGGTGATGGGCAAGTTCCCAGTTTAGGAGCAGAGATTTCTAGACTCTTCCTCCACATTTAGGAATAACATTCTCCTAAGGATCAGATTCCAGATAACTGATCTGGTGTATGCTCATCGCTGGACTCACCTTCCTCTCCTTTCCTAGTTTTCTGCATCTGGTTCTTCCAGGCCATTGCTTTCCCTTATTTTTCACCTGGAATCAAATCAGGCCAGGTGAGAGTGGGAAGGGAAATCATGGCAAATACTGCCTCATTGTGCAGAGGAAGATGAAATGGCTTGTCAAAGCTGGGAGGCACCCCCCAGCCCAATTTGACATCTTGGGTGGTAGAACAGAAAGAGAAGTCTTTAAAAGTCAGACGGAATCACACTTGAATACAACCAGATACCCACTGGAATCACTGATTGTGAGAAATATCACTTAACTTCTCTGGGCCTCAATTTCCTCCTTTGCAAAGGAGACAAACCACACTACCTGAGAGAGTAACAATGAAATAAGGTAACAAATGTAAGCAGTAGGCACCGGTAGGTGCCCAGGAAGACCCACTGCCCTCCCCACTCTGCTCACCAGTGCACCCTACCTTTTATCAGCTTCCTTCTGACTCAAAAAGGTAACTCTAAATTGCCTGTAATATTCATTGTTTCTTCAGGTTGTTGGTTTAATGTTGCTTGTTTACCGTCTTTACATCAATCTGATTATTAACATTCCTAGTTTACTTTGAAAAGAGCTCAGAATGCAATGCTTCGTTCCTACAAAGGGAAATCTTTGATCTAGAGGCCAAAGTTACAAATTCGCACTGCAGACCTCCCTGGCAGAAGTCTCTCATCACAGCCTCCAGGCTCCAAGCTTCAGTCCTGTGAGCCCAACTACCTTTGAGCACTTCCCCATGGGAAGCTAGTTTTCACCTTGAACTCAAAATGTAGAAAATCAAATTAAATTTACCACCCACTGACTAAGTAACTATATTATAGTGTTTAAATGCAACAATCTCTAAGACACAGCACATGAAGATCATGACGGGCAGAGCGATTAACTTAGGGTGCTAGTATTTGGGTTAAGAGATGAACTTTAACTCTCTATATGATTGTATTTGCCTAGAGCAGGGGTCTTTTTATTTGAAGGGTTAGATAGCAAATATTTTTAGCTTCAGAGGCCATATAGTCTCTGTTGCAAACACTGGATTCTGCCTTTGTTTTACAAAAGCAGCCACAGACAATATGTAAACAAATGAGCATAAGCAAATGAGCATAAACAAATAAGCATAAAGAACAAGCATAAATGAATTAGCATAAATGAGCAGCATGGCTGTGTTTCAATGGAACTCTGCTTGTGAACACCAAAACTTGAATTTCATCTAATTGTAATGCATCACAAAGTACTCTTCCTTTATTTTTTTCAGTCATTTAAAATATAAACACAATCTTTGGCTCTTGTATTGTACAAAGTTAGGTGGTGGGCTGGATTTGCACACAAGTAGCTTAGATGGACTGCAAGCATCTCAGAAAGGACACGGCAGACCCTGGATCAGTGATTAACCTCCAAGGAGGTAGCTGGAGTCCATCTGAGATGGGGCAGGAGGGAAACTTTTCATTAAAGGCTATTCTGTATCATTTGAATACCGTTAACTATGCATATTAAAAGCAGCCAAATATTAATGGGCTCCTCCTTGTCTAGCTTGGATTACTACTTAGTCTATAGGCACAGACCTGACCATCTACATTTGCCCTCTTACAGCACTAAATTATGTTTTCTACCTTTATCTTGCATCTACCTACCACTTTAGCATTTTATTTAAAAAAATAAAATAAAATAAGGGAGAAATGTAGGATTCACATATAAATCAAGTATAAAAATCAAATGAATAATCATATCTGACTTGATTGTTTATAGTTCATGATGCGTGATCAAAACCGAAAGTTTCTGTGATGACTGCCCTTGCACTGTTCACCATGTAAGAACTTATTCACTATGTAAGAACTTGTTCACCATGTAAGAACTTGTTCGTTATGCTTCAGAAGATTGGAGACTGTTGAGAATTAGGCTTGGGGTTGATTAATGATTGTGCACTGAGTCCCTTATACAGAATTTTATTGCTGTGAACAACCATTTGATCAATAAATATGAGAAATGCACCCTCAAAAAAAAATTAATGGGCTCCTTATCTAAGTTCTATTCTATTAATGTCAGTGTTAACTGTCCTAGTCAAACTGGCTTCTAACTGCCAGGTCAATTTTGACTCTCTCTCCCACCCCAGTCTCTCCCAACAGCAATCAGTGCCCAAAACCCACTGCCTCAGTTTACCGAAGCACCTCAGCCCACCACTAGCCATTCATTCCTCTCCCTACTTCTGTCTTTCCCACTCAGCTGTCATTTCATACGGCCTTTAACTGACTTCTTACTTGAGTGATGCTTATCTTCAAAAGAGAGGCTGAAGCTTTTCAAGGACTGGGACTATTTGTTACAATTCCTTACCCTCCCCCTTAGCTCCAGCACCAGTGCCTCACACCGAAGCAGGAACGCCATAAACAGTTGCTTGATTATTCATCTCCCATCCTGCTGGAGATGGTTTGGAATAGATGGAAAAGATCCACCCAGAATAGAAGCTGGTTCTGAGACGCGCAGCAGGGAAGAGCGCACACGCGCTCAAAGCCTCTGATCAGCGAGGAACACTCAGGGAGAGGAAAGGTGTTGGTCCAAATAAAAGCGGCTGTGCTTTGGAGAAGCAAGGCTGGAGACCCCAGGGCAATTTCCCCCAATTCCATCTCTCAGGCATCAGCCTCGCAGGGTAGGGAATCCTCTGATCCTCAGCTGGGGAATTCTGGCGACCCCAAAACCTTAGGAGCTCTCAGCACTCAGAAGTCTGCCCTCCCACCCAGTGCAGGAAAGGCCTCCCTAGCGCCTGGCGAAGAGGAACAGGCCACCTGAACTCCTGCAGAGATGCTCCCTACTATTGAAGGCAGCCTGTCCCACAGTTGAGGACTGTTAAACATGCTTTTCTGCTGCCACTGATTGTTTCCAGTTCTGGAACCAAACAGATAAAAACTTCCTGAGTGGCTAAGAAAAAGCTAATGATAACTGCCAAATAAAATAGAGCTTTCAAATATTTCTTCCTTCCAAGAGGTTCAAAGGGTTTTTAAAGACACAAAATCATGGACTCTTTGGAACTGGAAATAGCTTTACTCAAAAATATTTACTGCATGAAACTGAATATAGTCCCTTTTCCTGCGTCCTGGCATTCAGGTTATGCTGAAAAAGGAGTTGTTTTATCTTTGTTACAGGCAACTTCACAATCACACATAGCAATGTGGGTCCTCAATTCCCATTTTACACAGCAGAGAATTCATGACTGGGGGAGTCAGCAAACCTGCCTGAAGTCCCACAGCTAGTAAGTGGTAACGCCAAAATGCAAAGGGAGGGCTAGCCAGCATCAAAATTCAGTTTTTTTCCTGTAGTCCAGTTTTCATGACAGTAAATCACTCTGCCAGCCTCACCCTGTCTCTGAAATGGGCAGAAATGATTTCCGTCACTTCCATCAGAAACACAGAAGGCATCAACAGCGTTCGACAGTCTTGCAATCCCTCACCGGACTCTGTTCTCTCGGCGCATTCAGGTCTTCCTGGGGTGGTGGAAATGAGACCAAAGACATCCGTAGCCAGGATACCAGTGTCCCAAAGACACCCGAGGGCAAAGTGCCATCTCTCCAGCTCACACGGTGCAGCACGGCCTGTGCCATCCTGCAGCCAGCCTTTGCGGGGCCCTGGCTCCAGGCCTCCCAGTGGGACTGTGGTGTTCAGAAACCCATGAAGCATGGCATTGTTTGGGCAACACAAACACAACGTTTACCTGGGTCCTGGCGCCTTCCCTCTGCGGCACTGCTTTTGGTAAATATTTGGCAGGTTCACCCAAGAGGGGGCTGGGGCCTCTCTGCCCCATTTCCAACAACCCAGTTCTAGGAAGACAGGCCGGAGTACTGGCGTGGAGGAGTCACGTACACTAAGCCCAGCTACTCACATTATCAGCAGAAAATTACCAGCATCTTTATGCCTCTGGGACACCCTCTCAGCAGCTCTGTTTGTGGCCTGGCTCTTGGCCCGTTATTGAAACTCAGCTTCAAATGCCAGAATGGCTCCTGATGGTGCGGTTGGGGTTCACTGTGCTCTGAGATGCTCTCCATGCAGTCGCCAGAACTCCCCACCTGGCTCTCCTCCCAAGCTCACCTGCAGGTACCCAGAAAAGCATGTGGTCGCTCTGAGCGCTTCCTCCGGAAATACACACATTCCTGGGTTCATCAGGCCTCAGTGGCTACACGGAACAGGGGACGACCCTCCCCCTTTCTCAAGTGGGCAAACCGCAGCTGGGAGTTTAAGGCTCACGTAGGATGTTAATACTGGAGACAGAATAGCCCCCGAGCCCAATGCCTCTCTTCTCAGTCCCTGAAGAGGAAACGCCCACTCTCTCTGAGAGCATGTAGCCTGTATTGGCCCAAGGAAATCCCATGCTCTACCTCCCCATTCTCAGGTAGCTGTCCCTGAGACGGTCACCTGGCAATCTGAAGCTTCCTCCCCTTTATCTGTCATCACCCGGGGAGACGCGGTCATTAGCAGAGAGCACTATGTAGCTGTCTAATTAGGTAATCCGCAGCAAACGCAAAAACCTGTTCCAGCCACCCCACAGACCATCCACCTGGGGATCCTCTTACAGGCAACTCTCTTCCGCCGAGCTTCCTGGAAAGGTCCCTATTGTTTGCCTAGAACACAGAAAAGTGTCCGATTCTGCCCTCCCACTTATCTGCTGGCACTGACTCCCCAGCCGCCGTACAACCTCAGGGGGTGCCATTCACAACCAGCAGAGTGTGGATGGTGTCCCCAGAACTGCGGGGCACAGCAGCCCCAGGTGGGTGGGCAAGGGCAGGCCCTGAGGTGGGAGGGACAGGGTCTTCTGAGAGGATGTCCACCTACCTGGCCTCTTCACGTGTCCCTGAGCTATATCCCACCGTGCTGACATTTTGGGGTCAGGGCACAGGAAGCAGAGAGCCCTCGGGCAGGTTGGCAGGACATGTCAGAGGTGGACATGGGCGGCATGTGTGGTTCAGCCACACTCCTCCCACCTGTGTCTCTGAGTCCTGTCTCCTGGCTGCACTGGACGCTCACCTGTTCCTGGTTCACCCTTTAAATGGAATGTTCCACTTGCCCTGGGAGCCCAGGGGGAGAAATTCCCTGTTTGAGAAAGTTTGTGTTTGCAGAGCCGGGAGTCTCGGGGCTCCCATCAGATGCCACTGCCCATGCCAGGTGGAGGGAACTGGGCAAGGGCAGCCACGGAGGAGGACCCTCGCAGGGCAAGGCAGACAGGAAGTTGTGCCCACTCCCCCCAGCCTAGGGACAGTCAGAGCAGGAGACTGGAAGGGAACAGACACCTGCTGCCTCTGTGGCTCCCGGCAGATGCCCCCTCAGGTGGTAGAAGGGCAGCCCAACAAGCTGGGGTAAGAAACAGTGAGGCCCCCCCTTAACCTCTTCTTCTGTACCCTTCCCCAAATCATATCTTGTCTTTTTCTAGGCCTTTACCTCCTGGCTCAGAGAGCTGTCAGCCTCATCTCTTTTACCTTCATTATGGAGCAGGCGGGTAGAGGTGCCTGTAGCAGGGCCCACAGCTTTTCAAAGGGAGAGTGCATGTGCCCGGAGTGGGGGTGGGCAGGGCGGACAGCACCTCGGGAACAAATCCAAGGCCTCTGATTCCAGGGGGCTCCACTTACCCCAAGCCCGCGCCCCTGGCGGTGGACATCCGTACCTGTACCAAGTCCTGGCACCTGTGCCAATGCAGGCCTCAGGGCTCTCACGTGCCCCACGGCTCTGCCAGCTTGGCCCAGAGCCCTGGCACACCGAGACATGTGGGTTCTCTGACAGAATGTGAGAACCACTTTCCTTCCAGTCGCTGGGCCCTGTCCAGCTGTTTTCCAACTCCTATGAGACAAATTGGATTTTGTTTACAGAAGGAAAGATGTAGGCTAGACGTGAAGAAGCACTTGGAACTGGAGATAAGAGGAAGTCCAGGACTCTGCCTTTGTGCTTAAAAAATGCAGCCTGTTCCCTTCTGTAGGGTGTGGCCTAACACCTGTTCTCATCACGTTAACTCTCCTCAGAGATGTGCAGGGACTCTCCCTCCGCTGCCCGCTGCCCGAAGGCCTAACTCCTTGTCTTGGCCTCCAGACCCTGCAGTGCAGCTTCCCAATGTCTCCTTCCATTGCTCCACGTGTAAATTTTCTAATCTGGCCAGAGGTTTTCAAGATCTCTCCGGAAGGCCTTTGGCATCCCTGCGTGTGGCCATCCCCACCTCTCCTACAAGACGTCCCATCCTCTCCGGGCACCAGGGCAAGCTAGCCTTTAAGGTGGTGGATCTCAGCCAAACTGATTATCTGACAACCTGAGGAAACTCCCTAAAAAAAAACAATTCCCAGATTCCATCCTAGGTGCATGTAGAATCCCAGCCTCCCGGGGGAGGCAGGTGGACCGTGCTCGAAGGCTGCGCTCAGACACCACCTCTCCCAGAAAGCCTCTGTTTAACCCTGGCCCACAGACAGCCCCCTCCCGCAGAAGCGTAAGGGCGTGTACTGGTCATGCTGTCCACAGACAAGGCCTACTTAGACAGGGCCAAGTCCTGGACAGGGCCAGGGACTGAGCTGAGGAGGGGTTTGTGCACTCGAGGGGCCCCCAGGCTGGCGACTGGACCCAGATGAAAAAGCCCAAGAAGCCAGCCTCTGATGAAAGGCAGCCCGTGGTGGGGGCAGTGTGATGGTGGGGCAGCAGCAGCTTCTGAGAGGCCGAGAGTGGGCATTCCAGAGAGGGAGCCACAGGAAAAAGGCGGGAGAAGACTGGCCCCTTGGCTGGGTCAGGGGTCATGCTGGGAGGCAAGAATAACTAAGAAGGAACATTCACTGTGTGTTTACTATGGGCTCTGCTGGAACTGCTGTCCATCCATTATGATCTCTTTTACCCTCAGAACTGAAGCTGGAAGAGAATTTGGGGGCCAGTCCGTGGAGTCCCACCAGGCACCAAGTGGTGCCTGCTCAATAAATCTTTTCTTATTAATCAGTTGATAAAATGATCTTTGAAGGCTCACTCTCAAGCAGGTGGAAGCCAGGAGCCTTCAGGAGCAAATGACAGCTTGGAAAGAAACTTTCTTAACTTTTTAAACTATTCTCAGCAGCCCAGGGACTGACGCAGGGAGGAGAGGCTTGGGCCGGGGGAGGGCCTGGCTCTCCTGACACAGGATGTGAGAGTGGGTGTGACAGCTCTGCCGGTCCCCACAGGAAACCCAAGCCAGACTTGGGGAGACAGCTGCCCTGAATGACAGGTGCTGGCTGCTCCGATTAGGGACACAAGAGAAACGTTCTCCATGGGCCAGGCTAGGGGCACCCAACCTCCCTAGCAGGCCCTTGTCCCAAATGCCAGTTCGGGACTGGTGGGGAGGGTTCCCTCAGCACATCCCAGAGCTGGCGGAGCCTCCTGAGCTGACCTTGTCTTTTGTCCTGCTCCAGAGGCGCAGCCCCTTAGCTGAGCCATTCCAGAGACATGGAGGTCCCTTCTAATAGGTCACAGCTTCGTTCGGGTGCCACCTTCTCTAGCCTCCCAGTCTTCGGGTTAACCTTCATCTGGCTGGCTGCAATGCAAACCCCTTCCCCATGGGGAACTCAATACAGTGTCCACCTCATAAGGCTATTGTGAGGATCATATTAGTTAATGTGCATTAAGTATTTGGGAAAGCACTTGGCACAAGTGTATATATTTATGTATACATCTGAGCACGTATGTGCGTGCACACACATGAATGCATATATTCTTGCTTATGAGGTAAATGTCTTTCTGACATATGGAGAAGACAACTGAAAGCCACTGCCGTGGGGGAGCTCAGAAGTGTCTCTCCAAGGACCGGGCATGCTTAGAGTCCAGTCCCAGGCCTCGGAGGCTGCACGGGTGTTTTATGTCTAGCTTTAGGGACAGAGGCATAGGTGACATGAGATACACACATGGCTGGGCAGAGTGGTGACAAGCGTCTGAAGACACTATGCTAAGTGCTTTCCAAATCAGCTCAGTTAATCCCATGGGGTAGGTCCTACTACCCCCGTTTCACAGGGGAGGAAGTTAAACTGTCACACAGCTAGTCAGTTGCGGAGCCAGGATTCGAACTCTGCCTCCCAAGTCTGGACTTTTAATCATTACACTGCACTGTCTGTTTCATTTCAATGCCACCCTCTCACCTGGGACAGGGAAGCCAGACCTAAGAGGGCTCTGCCACTGAGAAGGTGGCTCTGTTTGCGAGAGGGATGGCTTCATTTGCACACACTTCAAAACTTAATTTCATTTTCAAAACAATTAAATTTTCAAATGGCTTGAATTCAGGAAACAGCACGTCTGGGTCCTATCAGAGTCCAGAGAGTTCTACAATAGTAGTTGGAGGTATAAACTCAGTTAGCAAGGCTAATTACCACTTGATGCTTTAGGTCCCTGATTAATCTGAGTGGTAGAAACTTGACTAGAAGATACTAAATGCCCCCACATCTTTTATTCCAGAAGAGCCAGGATCTTTCTGATCATGTCTCATTTAATCTTCTCCAGGGCCCAGAGATGCCAGAAGGGGCCGGATGTGGCAGCCTCCCGGCCCTGAGAGGCTCAGCCTTGCCGGAGGTCACTCACTCTGTGTGAGCAAGCACACACTCTTCTGGAAGATGGGAAGGTGAGTGGAGCCCATCCCCGAGGCCCAGCCACCTGGCTCTCTCAGCCTGCCCTCATTTTCTTCCCACCTTGACTTGGATGAGCATTTCCCCCCAAAACAAGGCCCCCATTTTATTCCTGGAACCAACTGTAGGTTTCATCGAGCCCAGCTGATACTTTGGACATGAAGAAAGAGGAGAGAAGAAAGAAGACGGCGCGGGCCGCACCTGCGGGATAAGCCTCCTTCCCCAGAGCTGCCCACAGCCCCGCCTCACCTGCCACAGAGGACCCGGAACACGGGCAAGAGGAGGGGCAGGCTTTCCCCACTGCGAGTCCACGGGCCGCTTCCTCCGAGATCCCCGGCTAACGTCCCCTCACACGAGGCAAGGCCCATGATTTCTGTCTGTCTTTCATTCTGTGGTAAGCCGCAAACACTAACGACAAGTGGGGAAACTGAGTCCAGAGAGGGGCAGGGATGCACTCCTGGCCACAGACTTTGTGAATACAAGTGAGGACAGATCTCAGGTATGGCCACACCCAACCAGCGTCACCTCTCACCTGGGACAGGGAAGCCAGACCTAAGAGGGCTCTGCCACTGAGAAGGTGGCTCTGTTTGCGAGAGGGATGGCTTCATTTGCACACACTTCAAAACTTAATTTCATTTTCAAAACAATTAAATTTTCAAATGGCTTGAATTCAGGAAACAGCACGTCTGGGTCCTATCAGAGTCCAGAGAGTTCTACAATAGTAGTTGGAGGTATAAACTCAGTTAGCAAGGCTAATTACCACTTGATGCTTTAGGTCCCTGATTAATCTGAGTGGTAGAAACTTGACTAGAAGATACTAAATGCCCCCACATCTTTTATTCCAGAAGAGCCAGGATCTTTCTGATCATGTCTCATTTAATCTTCTCCAGGGCCCAGAGATGCCAGAAGGGGCCGGATGTGGCAGCCTCCCGGCCCTGAGAGGCTCAGCCTTGCCGGAGGTCACTCACTCTGTGTGAGCAAGCACACACTCTTCTGGAAGATGGGAAGGTGAGTGGAGCCCATCCCCGAGGCCCAGCCACCTGGCTCTCTCAGCCTGCCCTCATTTTCTTCCCACCTTGACTTGGATGAGCATTTCCCCCCAAAACAAGGCCCCCATTTTATTCCTGGAACCAACTGTAGGTTTCATCGAGCCCAGCTGATACTTTGGACATGAAGAAAGAGGAGAGAAGAAAGAAGACGGCGCGGGCCGCACCTGCGGGATAAGCCTCCTTCCCCAGAGCTGCCCACAGCCCCGCCTCACCTGCCACAGAGGACCCGGAACACGGGCAAGAGGAGGGGCAGGCTTTCCCCACTGCGAGTCCACGGGCCGCTTCCTCCGAGATCCCCGGCTAACGTCCCCTCACACGAGGCAAGGCCCATGATTTCTGTCTGTCTTTCATTCTGTGGTAAGCCGCAAACACTAACGACAAGTGGGGAAACTGAGTCCAGAGAGGGGCAGGGATGCACTCCTGGCCACAGACTTTGTGAATACAAGTGAGGACAGATCTCAGGTATGGCCACACCCAACCAGCGTCCCTATGGCGATGACCCGCCTACATACGGGTCCCCCCTGCCCAGCACTCCGAGTTCCCTGGGAGCAGCGAGCCAGTCTTACTCATCTTTGCATTCTTGGTATCTGGCATACAGTGATTTCTCAATAAATGTCTGGAAAAGAAAGGGGGCAAAGGCAGGGAAAGTGGGATGGATAGAGAGGGGGCAGAGAGAGAAGGGGGCAGGAAGGGGGGTGAGGGGGGTGCGGGAGGGCGAGCAGGTGCCAGGAGACAGTGGCCCCCGAAAGCCCCTGGAATCAGACCAGAGCGCAGAGCCCTCTGCTGGCCTAGGTCTAAATGGGCGTCGTGGAAACAGGCTGCTGTCCCCAGTGTCCATGCAGGACATAAATGAGGACACTTTTTAAGGTGCCCGCCTTTCAGCTACCAAGGTGACCAGGCAGTTCCTGGGCCGCCAGACCCTGCTGCCCCTCGTCCTCCCGCCCTTCTTGCCTTCCCACATCACCGGTGAGCACAGCCAGCTGCCTCTTCTCCTTGCGGTGCTCCACGGCCTCCTTGCGCCTGTCCTGGACGATGGGGATGGATTAGGAGAATGGGGACCTGCAACATCAGCTGGGGAGACCCCTCCCTGGAACCCCAACCTGAGACAGGGCGGGCTCTAGGGGGTGCTTCTCGAGTGAGAAGCTGGTGCCAGAAGGAACCTGAGGAAGAAGCCAAACGTGCCTCCATTTAGATCCAGCCCACGCCCAAGCCCTGCCTCCCTGGGGGCTGGGAGGGATGCAGGGAGGAGCGGCTGCCATGGGAAGGGGCTCCTGAACAGGTCTGGTCCCTGCACCACTCAGGGAAACCACACGAGACGGGGACTTAACAAGCCAGGCTTCCTCCGGGATTTCCCTGCGGTGAAGGGAGAGGGAGCCTTCTGTCCAGACTGGACCCTGGTGGGGCCAGCGTCCTCTTTCCTGGAAAGTACCAGGTCCCCTGCCCCTTCCTATATGGTCCATTGTCAGGCACTCGCTCCACACGTGTTTGTGGAGACCTACTATGTGCAGGGCCTGCTGGCTCTGGGGGCAAACTCTTCTAGATTCCTGGAATAGGTGGGGGTAGGATGAGGAGGGCAGAGGAGGCTCCTGGCCTTCTCCAAATGCTCCAGAACAATGCCCTTACACTCTGCAAACCCTGCCCCGAATCTCTTCTGAAAAACAAGTCCTCAAACCAAATCTGGCACATGCCAGGCAGCTAGGCACATGGAATTGAAGCAGGAAGCTATTCCAGGGGATCTTGTGGCTTCTCCTTTGTGCCAAAGAACTGAGAGGGGGAGGGGGCCCCAGGCTGCAGCACACTGGGCTCTCTGAATGGACAAGGCTGCTGCTGTAAGGCAGAGTGTGGGACAGTGTTAGCCAGAGGCCAAGGCTGCCCTGGCGACCCTTGGGAGCAGCCACAAGGACAGCAGAGTCAAGCAACACTGACAGGGTAGTCCACTCCCTGCAGCACCAGCTAGTGGAAGCCAGGGGCACTGAGCTCTCATTCTGACCCCACAGCTACTAATGTGCTATGTGCCCTCACACAGGCCATAAATGCCTCTGACCCTCAGGTAGCTCATCTGCACGGGGCTATCAGGATGAGGTCTAGAAGAGAGGAAGTAAACTGTGTCCCACGCCTGTTTAAACCCTTAAAGGATGAAATCCAGTCTCCTGGGTAGGGCTGTCAAGGCTCTTCACAAGCCAGCCTACCTTCCAGCCACTTCCCCGAGACCCCAAAGTGTTTTCTGTGCTTCAGCCCCTGACCATGCTAATGTATTTTCAGTTCCTCATGCATCTCAGCCTCTGGGTGTACTGTTCCTGCCTGAACTGCATCCCTTTCACCACATAACCCATACTTTGCAGGTCAGCACGAACCTGCCCCCTATAGCCACTCCTGACCTCCACCCAGAAAGTCCCCCTTCCTCTGTGTTTGCGAGACACTCTGTGCAAGAGAAGACAAGTAATGACTGCGGCATCTTCCTACCCTGATGGACAGGGACTGCACTGGGGTACGGGGGGCACTTGATAATATGGGAGAATGTAGTAACCACAACGTTTTTCAAGTGAAACCTTCATAAAAGTGTGTATCAATGATACCTTAATACAAAAAAAAAAAAAAAGACTGCATCTAACCATTTCTCTTCATTCTTTGTTTACAAGTCTATCTCCCCTGCTAGACTGTGAACTTTAAAGGGCCATCTCAAATTCATCTTTCATTCAACAAACATTCAGTAAATATCTGCTCTGGGCCAGGGCCTGTTAGGTGCCAGGATACAGAGGAAAGAAGGACTGTATCCCCAGCTGGTGTCTGTAGTGCTTAGGACAGTGCAGGCATGAGGGGCCTGCAGGGAATGCTCTGCCCCCTCTCCTTTAGCAGAAGACTAAAGAAGAAACTAAAAGCATAAATCACGACCACTCCCTGAGCACTGTACTACATGCTATGTAAGAGCTGTTGTCAGTACTTCAGACATACTGTTGTTCTTGATCCTCAAGTTAGCTCTCTGACAAAGGCCTCCATAGATGGGGAGAGTGGTGCCCAGAGAGGTTGAGAAACTTGCTCACAGTCACCCAGCAGGAAGCAGAGCTCAGATAGGACCTCAGATAGGTGTTGACCGCCTCCTGTCCTTAGTCTCATGCTGCGCAGTTTAAATATGCTAATAAATGAGCACCTGTGTGTGCCTAGATGTCTTTTTTAAAAGAAGGAAATAATCATCTATTAACCTCATGGCTCTAAACCCTATGACTTTAGTCCTAGCTACCCAGGCAACCTTCTGGAAATTCCCTATTCCCTTCCTTTGCCATTGCATCAGCAGTTCCCAGAGCTCTGAGCCAGGCCAGCTCCCCAACCCTGCCTGGGGAAGCCAGTGGAGTTGCGTATCAGAGGGCCATCAGCCTTTGTAACCTTCAGTGTGTCATTAGTGGCTGCTTGGCGGGTGGCCCCAGGCCCCTGCAGCCTCAACCACTGGGATTCTGCCCTTGCTGGGGAGACAGCGGCTAACAGGTTCCTATTCTCCCATCGGCCACAGTCACTTCTCCATTGTGCTCCTCCATATCCCTGACCCAGCATTTTTCTCTCTCAAAACCCAGTTGTGGCTGCTGCCCATGTGAACCCCTCTGCCTGGGCTTCCAGACCACTTTCCCAGCATCCCTCACTCCTTTCACTCCTTTCTTCCGCAAACCCTACTCCCCAACTTGAACCAAGCTAAACTGGCTCTGGGGACTTTGCAAATACAAATGCAAATTCCTGTCCCATGCAGTGTCATTGTTTCCTGTCTTCTCATCTAAATCATCTCTTCCAGGAAGCCCTCCTGGATAGACCATGCCCAACACAGATCTTGCTTTTGCTTTGCAATTCCTCAGAACTTCATACCCTCCCTGAATTTACACTGGCTGGAGCCATTGTTACATTAACCCATTTCACAAACATTTACTAAGGGTCTACAACTCTGTGCCAGGCATTTATTGTGTATCTACTATGTGACAGGCACTGTGCTAGGTTCTGGATATTCTGTGCCCTCGGGAACTTGCACTCATGTTAATTATCTTCAGGCCCTTTCCCGGGGAGGCCATCCTCTGCACTTAGATTGGAGCTCTCTCGGGGACTGTCTTCTCTTTGTTCCACCCTAGCACCTGACATCTACAAAGGACTTTAGCTATGCAAGGTGCTTTTGCATCTGTTGTCCCATTTTATCTGTACAGCAACCCCCTGCAAGTGAAGATGGAAGAAGTTATTATTCCATTTGAAAGATGGGGACACTGAGGCCCAGAAAGGTGAAATTACCTGTCCTCAGCCCCCAGCTGGTTACCAGCCAGGTCATCAACAGAATTCAGGGTCCCTGACAACAAAGGTGAGTGGCCTTTGCCCCACACCATGCAGACTAGGGTCATCGAGAGCCAGATGGGACCTAGGTGACAACCCATTTCTCAACCTCAGTCACTGCCAATGGACACTGAGGGGGAAGGAAGGTGGAAACACAGAGGGCATCATAAAACGCTTATGTAACCAGAAACTTTGAGCAAGTTTACCCTTGTAATCCTGGCATATCAGAAGCCCTCAACTCATACTTGTCAAATGAATGAACATCTCACCAGAGAGGCCAGCCGCAGCGGGTGTGAGCTAATGGCACCTGGGCGACTGACTCCAGGGCTGTGCTCTTGACCACGCTAGCCATGCACAGGTCAAACACTCCCACCCTGCATGCACGGTCATCACCCAGCTCTCCCTGCAAGTGTACTGGGTGAGTGTTCAGCTGAGGGCTGAGTGAGGGCTGCCCTGGGCCCCGAAGCTCTGCATGAGTCACGCGGGCTGCAATGAGGTATAATAAAAACCTGGCTTGGTTGGGGCGGGGCAGGGGGAGGGCTGTGTCCCAAGGCGTCATGAGTCCTCCCCCCCTTGGCATGTCCCCCAAACAGCAGCTCTTCTCTCTCACTTGATGGCTAAACAGAGCTGGTAAGCACCAGGGCAGAGGATGGAAGGAAACGTCTAGCATCTTAGCCAAGGCTGAAGTAGACAGCAGGGTTAAGGAGGGTGGAGTGGGCCTTTTCACTGGGACAAGGACAGACTGAAAAGCTTTATAAATAGGGTGAGAGAGGGACCTCAGTGAAAAACTCCTTTATGGGATGGGATGGGAAGGACGGGACTGGGTGACTCCAACGCTGGCTAACTTTCAGCCCCCAACAGAAGGGAGGCTGACACTTAGGAAACCCTCACCACCAACAAGACAGGGATGGGGGCCAAAGAAAGAAAACAGAGAAATAATCTTCTCTGAGGTCGGGTTTCTCTGACAAGACCTGAACTGGAAGGCACAGGATTCAGAAGAGTGAGCAGAGCAGGAGAGGCTCACCCAGAACTCACCGAGGCTGAAGGATTTGTGTCTAAAGGTTCAGAACTATAAGCTGAGGCTGATCTTAGTGCCTCGGTATGACCTTGGGCCAGCAGCTTACCAAACCTTCCACAGACTTCAGCTTCTCCCTATTATAAGGGCATTATGTCACCTGTACACATCTGTACCCTTTGGCGTGGGGACCGTGTTAGAGTAAAGGAGGCCCGAGGGCAGAGGACGCTCAGAGTGGCTTAGTGGGGAGGAGAGGTGGGAATGCAAGGTACGGTCAGCTCTCCCGGAAGGGCAGGCAGGAGCCGC